TGAGTTCGTCGGCCGGGGATCGAACCCCGAACTACATGAGTGGTTATGTTGATGGTTTAGAGGTAGAATGCTCGCTAACCAGGCCAAAAGTGATCCGGGGTTTGATCCTAGGTCAGCGCACTCATAAACCTCACTAATTATAATAATAACATTTTTATTCTAGACAGTATTTATGAAATGTACAGAATTTTCAGAGGAGTTTATTGTATGATATTTTCCCTCCATACAATATCTTCAAGTAAAATATTAATTGACAGTATATCCTTCCTGTGACACAATGCTCTCTCTGAGCTGAAAGACAAACCATTCCATTATGATAAATCTGTCTGCTTTGTCTCCTTCAAGAAACCCACGATATCTAATTGGAAGTTAACTGTAAGATATTCAGAACATTTATATTTTGAGATCCAACAGTATAACTGAAGAACAGTTATCTCATGTTGTATTCGAACGCGTTGCCACACACAATCAAGCCTTTCCCCAGGTTTAGTAGGAACATGAGTATCAGAAGCTTAGACCAGGTAGAGGGTGTATTGATCATATCTTCACCTCTGACAGATTCTAGAACGTAGGGAGATTCCTACCGGCGTCCAACAATCATTATATTCCTTGACCTAAAGGCGGAATTCGATTCTATCGGCCGAGAGGTTCTCTGGAGATGCTTGACTGTCAAAGGAATTCCGAGAAAATACATTGCACTGATTAAGGCACTCTACTTGTACTCATTCAGCCAGGTATGGGCTTACGGCGAGTTGTCATCTAAAGTGGTGACGACTAGTGGTGTCCGTCAAGGATGCCCATTATCCTCATTTCTATTCAATTTCATCATTGATACTGTACTAATGGACTTAACCCTCAGTGACTTCAGCGACTCGGAGATTGACTTGTTACTATCAGGGAATAATCTCGTTGACTCGGAATATGCAGACGATATAGTCCTTCTAGGCGAGGACGCTGACACGATAGAGCCGAGTCTTCTAAACACCTTGAGCAGCAATCTACGATTGGCATGTTTGGCATGCGATTCGCTCCCGCCAAATGAGAGATGATGTTACAGGACTGGACCACACCGACTCCTAGATTAGTAATAGGAAGTGAACTGGCAGAGCACGCACGTTGGCCGCTTCACTTATTTGGGAAGTATCATCAGCCCCAACGGGTTGATCTCTGACGAAATCTCACCACGGATACAGAGGGCTCGTTTCACATTTGCCAGTTTACGCCATCTCTGGCTTAGTAGACGTCATATCCGGGTATCGACCAAAGGGCGGGTGTACTGCTCATCAGTACGCTCCGTCCTCCTTTTTGGCTGGCTGTGAGACCTGGCCATTGAGAGTGGAAGACATGAAAAGCCTGGCTACCTGTCTTTGATCACAGGTGCCTGCGTTCTATCGCCCGTGTGAAGTGGCATAATACGAGGAGCAATATTGAGGTTAGGCGTCGAGTTCTAGGTAAGGAGGGGAAATCAATCGACTATTCTGTGAAACTACATCGACTGAAATGGTTAGGACATGTGTTACGCATGCCTAGTCATCGCCTTCCTCGACAATGGGCAATGTTAGCGGATATAGGGTCAGGCTGGAAAAGCGGCGGTCAAACCAAGACATGGCTTCACCAGTCAATGAAATCTACAACAGTCTAGGAAGGTGTAGACTTCCCGGTTGGGGTCCTCGGGATGGTAAAAACAACTGGTTGGAAACAATTGGTGACATGGCTCAAAATCGTTCCCAATAGCCGGCTGAGATGCATCCACTCCTTGTGACTTATGATTTCCAATGAAACTGTTTTGTTCTTCATTATTACTATTCCTTTGTCTCACACCTCTGCTTACTGTCTGTTTTATGCTTTTCTTGTACTTTCTTCTCTTGGTTTGTGTGGTACATGGTGTGGCGACTTGAACTGGTGCACATGAGTGCAAAGTTCTACGTCGAAAACAGACAGATAGACAGACAAAAGCTTGTAAGCATCTTAATTGCACACAAGAGTAGATAACATCATTATAGGTCATATTTCAGTCGACTAAGAAAAACCGAACGAGTGAAAATCTATGGAACAGAGAAATGGAACTTTTTGGTAGCCGAATTTTTAAGCAGGCCGCAAGTAGTAAAGTAAGCCCAGCAGAGAGTAAAGGTTGGGTGTAGAACCAGCAACCCCACCCCTTAAAAATAAAAGCTCTACCTTGAAGCCTTATGTTCCACTGGAAACGTAGAGCAATAAAAAATAGAAAAGTAAATTAAAATTTTGAAATACTTGGATATTGTGAATTTGTGGATTCTGACTCGATAAACAAACAATAATGGCGAAGTTCAACAATAGCGTCCCAGGAGTGCGAACGCTACAATGACCCTTAAACGGATGCTAGTCCTTGGCTGACGGCACCTGTCATTATCATAGCTGAAATATCAACGCTATTCATCAACTAAGCAGCAAATTTCATTCAGATCACTTTTTAAAATACTGTTTCTACAATGTATTAGTAGCTCGTTAGAGTTAGGATTAGGGTTAAGGTAAGTATTGGAGTTAGAGTTAGGATCAGGGTCATAATTAGGATTAGGGATAGATTTAGAGTTGCTTTCATTTATTTTAATTTGTCTTCTTATCCACATTTTTGTGGTAAGTATTCGTCCATCCTCTTACTGGAAACCGTAGTAGTTCAACCGAGGACTTTGGGGAGGACTGCACAACATGGTAAGAGAGATGAACGATTTTACAAAGAAACAGCTCATCTTCTGTCACCTCGGTGAATACATGTACAGAAACTAGTCTAACTTAGCAACTGATACTCCTCATTATAACTTGGATGCATTTTTAAGTCATTTCAGAGAAACATACCCTGATAAATATGTTTTCAAGCATTTTCTTGTAAATATACGTCATTTTTTGTGCAAAAATTCCTCATTTTTATGATTGGTCGGCTGAAGGTCACTCGTGCGTTCGCATCACTTGGAATGCTATTATTGAACTTTGCCACAATAATATCACCACTGTATTGATATTACCGTATTAGTCACATCGACTTTGAGAAGAGCTTTAACTTGACAGAGGTGATCAAACCAAAACTTGACATCACAACCTTTGAAGTGTTTCGTTTATAGTCGGCGGTTTGAGCCAGCTAGGTAGAGAGGTGTACCCTGTCTGTTTGGTTGGTATCATCAGGATGCTAAGAATCAATGGCTGGAGATGAGTATTGGTGAGATGGTTCGAAACTGTTCTCAATGGCGCAGTTACATTTACCCTTGAACTTAGCAACTTGAACTGGTGTACTTCTATGTAGATTTCTATATTGAAACTCAGTCAGTTAGTTAGTTGATCAGTCCTCCATTTCGGGAGTCTTCAATTACCGACGAATAATGACGGTATTTCCACTGAAACTCAAACCCTCCACCTATTGCTTCAAACGCCCAATTACTAACCAATGATATCCTTTACACGCATGAGAGGTGACTATAGGGGCCAGTCGAAGTAACTTAGGGAATAATGCTTTGACGTATGAGACGAAGCGTGCAGGATCTCTCCTCAACACGTCTATTCCCTCTCCATTTCTTTCTGCATATATTTCTTGTCACCGGTGTGCTTTTTTTTGATATAGCGGAGATATTTATTCAGACATCTGTAAAACATAAAATAATTGAGCAAAGAATATCCTTTTCGATAATTTCCTCCCCTTCTGGCTCTACAGTTACACATACATATGTTTATATACATAGAATGTTCTAGATTAGTAGTCAATATTAATATCAGTGTGTTTTTCTAAAATAATATCGATTTGTAAAGTAAGATCACGATGGAATTACAGTTCATTAAAGATGCTTAAATAATAATAATAATAATAATAATAATATAATAGCAAATAGAATATCAACTAAAATTAGGGAAATTCCACAAAAATTCAAGATCATTCGAACTTAGATGGCCAGTGGGGTAAGGAAAATGTCTGAATAAACTTCTCTTGGACGGACAAATTAGGCTTCTTAATCTGGATTCCAACAGCCAGCCTCAGCAATATTTAGTAAACGAACTGTTAAGGCGAAATTGAGATTAGTTAGTATGCGGTAAATGACTTTGAAAGCTGCCTGGCTGACCACAATCTTGTATTCTGTATCTACAAGATGAGATAGAATAGCGCTACACATAGATTTTGTTTGTCCTTTACTTAACCAACCACTGTGCAGGGTGATGTTCGAAAATCCAATGAGATACACACACACACACACATGGAAGAGGCGAAATTACGCAGTTTGTCTTTAACTCCCGAACACAAAAGAGGAGTGGTTTTGAAGACATAGCGCGATTCAGAAGCAGGGAATGCTCTTTTTACCGCATTTCTAAGGCGTTGTGTTAGTATATATATATATATATATATATATATATATATATATATATATATATATATATATATATATCGTTAGTTTGTTGCGCTAGAAGTCCTTGTCAGTTATCCTCTGTAATTCTAGTCTGTGTGATATCTTCAGTAACAAGGCCAGCGAAGGCAGTGGTTGATGAAAGTCTGCAGTAACCCGTTGGAAATACTCTAAGTGATGCGCACAACCAGTCTCTGAACCGAAAAGAGAAGCATTGACTTTCGTATGCCAGCTACTGTAAGTAGGTGTATACTGAATAGAACGTACAGTATTACTCGCATGCTCAGTGGGCAATGTATTTCTCATATAATAATATAGTACACAGGAAGAGAATTTAGTAGATGTTTACTAGACATTTGTTAAAAATTTAGTGAAGAGAGACACACAGAGAGAAACAGAGGGAGGCAGAGACAGGACGATACACTAACATGATAAATAGGCATTATGTCATCATGGGATGTGAGCGTCAGAACCAACAATTGGCAAAAACCATAAAAACCAACGAATTATCCCGCCCCCCCCCCCCAATTAACCATTTATACATAACATAAACACACAAAAAATATATGTATATAAAATTTTAAACATTCATGCAAAGCAACTCAAAGCAAATTTAGGAAAAAAGGTTCTTTAACTTACGTGATGATAATCGTCCAATAATTCAGAACCAGACATTAAATAATCGATCTGATTTTGAAGAGACAGAAGGGGGAGATAGAGAGAAAGACAGAAAATAAAAATAAGCGAAAATGCAGAGATCAACTCATATACACTTGAATAAACAAAATATGCGTAGGGAAATCGACTTCATGATTAGATAATAAATGATAAATATATTGTAGGTCGTCTGTAGTAGATCCGGGGTTGATTCGATTATTGAAACATAGAAATATTGGCTAAATTTAGAATGATTGAACTCGCAAAGTTCTATCTCCCGTGTAAAGTGATAGGTGTAATAGGGTGAGCAATATTGAAGTTAGGTGTCGGTCGAGTGCTAGGTAGGTGGGAGGGGAAATCAATGGATGAGGAGGTTGTGAAACAGCTGAATCGATTGAGATGGTTAAGACATGTGTTACGCATACCCGCCTAGCCATCACCTTCCTCGACAACAGGCGCTGTTGGCTGATTGATCAGGATGGTCAGGTTGGAAAAGAGCCAGTCAGCGGTTTTCAAACCAAAACATCGCCTCATCAGTCGAGAAAATCCAAAACAGTTAGTTTAAGCCATGAAGGTGTAGACTGGCTGATTGGTTGGGGTTCTCAGGGTGGAAATGGTAAAAACCAATGAAGGCTGGAGATAATTGATGATATGACTCAAAATCCTCATTCTGGAAGGCTGGCGCAGATGCATTCACTCCTCATGATTTACTATATTCAATAAAACTATCTTGTTCTTCCATATCACTATTCTTTTTGCCTCATATTTATTATCTCTCTTCTGAATCTATCTTTACTGTCTTTTCTTGCTTTGTGTGCTACATGGAGAGAGTGTGGCGAATCGAACTGCTGAATATCTGTGCAAAGTTCTACTTTGAAACCAGTTAGTCAATTATTTGGAAGAAGAAGAACAAGAAAGTATAATAAAGTTTAGAATAGATCTGTATTTTGACCGAACAATCTGTTTTTTATGCTCACCACCTTATGAAGAAAAGAAAATTCAATAAGATACAATTGAGGATAACATTAGTGCTACTATGAATGATACTTCCACTTTCCATATTATTACTGTTCCCTTGAAGTCCTTTCTTCATCGCCTCTTCTTCTGTCAACTTGTTGTTGATTTTCACCTGTAGATCTCCCATTTTGTACGACATTCGACATGAACCATTCACAAAGTTCAGATCTTCCGGTGTTTTCCGGTCGATTCAACGTATGTCTGTCTTCTTGCTCCCCATGATCTGTTGTGTATTCCAGTCTACCGGAATCAGAAATATCATGGGCGGCAGTAGGTAGGCAACCTTGCCATACTCATGTCTTCGCCTCAAAGGATTCTCTGAGTTTTCCTTTGTGAATCACTTGGCGTGTCGCATGATCATATAGCAGTTAAAAATGAGGTTAATAAATAGCTTAGGGGACTACGTAGTGTTGCAGTGGTTTCCAAATTACTTCATAGTCCGTGTTTTATAGAAGGTCTTTTCGAAATCAATAAGGCTGAGGTAGCAAATACTTAACTGCCATTCAATGCTCTCTTCCATGATGATGAAGACTATAGCGTTGCAATTCAATCTGCGTATGGTTTGCCTTTCTTGATTCAAGTTTGTCCTGAGTGGGTTTTTTTTTACTTCCAAAGCATCTTCTATTCTCTTCAGCCAAATGTAAGATGGTGTCACAGGACTGGACTACACTGCCTCCTAGTTCAGAAATAAGAAGTGAAGTGGTAGAGCACGTTGACTGCTTCACTTATTTGGGAAGTACCATTGTAACAACAGAAGACAAGGGCCAGGCAACAGATCGTTTTATTATGAAAATCAACACGTATTTATACATCTTTCAACTACATTATTATAGACAAGCGCAGTCATCTGATTGGTTGTTTAGGTAGACAAACGCAGGCTTCTGATTGGTTGTTTCGGGATTCCTTGACAAATAGAGTTCTCTCTGCGAATCATATTTTGCCACGTTAACTTTGCTGTGATTGGTTGTTGACTCAGGCTTGTTCACGGCCCATATTAGTGACCTAGACCTTAACGTAGATTAGTGCCAACCAATCGGCTAGCAGCCTGCTCTCACCACACTCGTCCCCCCGTCAAATACGTGCGACTGAAGTCGGCTTGATCTACTTGGTGCAGGCGTCATCGTTGGCTTGTCTCGCTGTATCCATTTCTGGAGCTCGCTGACGTTCACGCGCCTCTCATTGTTCGCCATTGCGACTGTGTCTGCGTAACCCCATCTCGAAGTGACCATATATGGTCCTTCCCACTTTGGAAACTGTTTGCCTGACCCTGTCGAACATTCGTCCATACTTCGGCCCACACCTTCATATGCTGCTTTCGCCCGACCTCCCAGCAGCGTCTCAAGTAGCAGCTCCATCGCTGACAGATCTTGAACGCCACTCAACTGCGCAGAAGCCTTGAAGTCCTGCCCGAAGATCCATATGTCTCCATCAAAAACTGCAGGGTATAGGCTTTTCATTTGTCGGTAGGCAGCGACACCAAATGTAACAACAGAAGACAAGGGCCAGGCAACAGATCGTTTTATTATGAAAATCAACACGTATTTATACATCTTTCAACTACATTATTATAGACAAGCGCAGTCATCTGATTGGTTGTTTAGGTAGACAAACGCAGGCTTCTGATTGGTTGTTTCGGGATTCCTTGACAAATAGAGTTCTTTCTGCGAATCATATTTTGCCACGTTAACTTTGCTGTGATTGGTTGTTGACTCAGGCTTGTTCACGGCCCATATTAGTGACCTAGACCTTAACGTAGATTAGTGCCAACCAATCGGCTAGCAGCCTGCTCTCACCACACCATCAGCCCCAACCGGTTGATCTCCGACGAAATCTCACCACGGATAGAGAGGGCTAGTTTCGCATATTCCAGTTGACGCGGCTTCTGGCGAAAACGTGATATCCGGCTACCTGGCTGTCTACCAAAGGGAGTGTGTACTGCTTACCAGTCCACTCAGTCCTCCTTTATGGCTGACTGTGAAACCTAGCCATTCATAGTGAAGGACATGAAAAGGCAAGCTAAATGTCTTTGATCATAAGTGTCTGTCTTCTATCTCTCGTATGAAGTGGCATAATACGAGGAGCAATATTGAGGTTAGGCATCGGTTGAGTGCTAGGTAAGGAGGGGAAATCAATCGACGAGGCTGTGAAGGTGTTACATCGACTGAGATGGATAGGACATGTGTTACGCACGCATAGCTAGCCTAGTCATCGCCTTCCTCAACAACAGGAAATGTTAGCTGATATAGGGTCAGACTGGAAAAGAGCTAGCGGAGGTCAAACCAAAACATTGCACCAGTCAATGAAATCCACCACAGTTAGTCTAAGTCACGTAGGAAGGTGTAGACTTCCTGACTGGTTGGGGTCCTCTAGATGGCAAAAACCAATGGCTGGAGACAATCGGTGATATGGCTCAAAATCTGGTGGAGATGCGTCTACTCCTTGTAACTTATGACTTCCAATGAAACTATATTATTCTTCGTTATTACTATTTCTTTGTTTCACACCTCTGTTTACTGTCTCTATTATACATTTCTTGTATTTTCTTCTCTTGCTTTGTGTGCTACAAGGAGGGGGTGTAACGACTTGAACTGGTGCACATCGGTGCCAAGTTCTATGTCGAAAACAGGCAGACAGACCGATAGACTATTCGCTTCAAGATGACCTTTCCATATTCTCCACACCTTAACGAACACACACTACTCATGGATGACTGTTAGCCAGGTTGCTAGATTTTACTGTTAAAATATTGAGTAAAATACAGTGTTTAATACTCTAAAACTTCATTGTTATTATTATCATTATTATCATTAGTTTTTCCTTGGGTTCCGAGTGGAAAATACGGCTTCAACAACACAGCGCCACTCTCTTCTATTCTATGCCATCCTCCTCTTCAGCCGGCTATCTCCACGATTGCCAATAATCTCTCATCTCCTCCAAGTCACCCTCGTACCAACGAATCACTCATCGCCACCCATTTGGATTCCACTCAAGGCATTGTCTGGCGCGCGATGTCATTTGACGGTATCCTCAATGTGTACCCGATCCATTCATCCCTATTTTCGCCTATAATCGTTAGGCGATTGGCTGTCGCCTGTTGGTTTGTTCGCACAGTTTCTTCTTACGTATTCTTTCTGGCCATTTGATCTTTAGTGAAGACAACTGTTGATGAAAGTCAGCAAACTGTAGTGCAACTTACTGACTCGCATAGAAGAACTGACTGACTGACTGACTGACTGACTTCACAGTTGTGTTGAATAGAATCCGAATCGTGTTCTTTATGCTAAGGAGTCAACAAGATTTCCAAACTGCTTTCAGGTAGATGAAGGCGTATCTTGCTTTTCTCATTCTGGCTGGCTGGCTGGCCTAGACATCTTTATCCGTTCCGACTGCCTGTGGATGAAACGATACTGTCTAGCCAGATAAGTGGAGGAAGAAGGTAACCTCTGTCAAATCTCTCCCGTCGGTGATGATTGGTGCTGGATGTTGTTGTTGCTGCTGTCAGTTGGTTGGTTATCTACATCACTTCCGTCGTCTCGGTGTTTACCTGAAGTCTTGTCTTTGCTACCTGCCAGCTTGCTGGTTTTCTTGTGCCTGTAAGCCTTTTAGTTTGCGTGAAATTAGACACATTATACAGCTTATCCAACAAGGCGGAATGCCAAGTAATCCACAACGGAAGACTTACGCAATCCTCCGAAGTAAAAACGGGAGTAAGACAAGGCTTCCTACTATCGTTAATGATTACCCTGATTGCGGTAGATTGGATAATGCGACAGACAGTGGGCTGGGCAGCGAGGAAACAGGCATAAAATGGACCCTCACAAAAAACTTGGAAGATTTTGACTTTGCCGATGATATATGTCTGATTTCCGATAAATTGGAAGATATGCAAGTGAAAAGCAATAATTTGGCAGAAGAAGCATCAAAGATAGGACTCCAAGTAAATATACAGAAAACAGATTTAGGTGATGAAGATTCCTGGTCAACAGTAACAGCGACAACAA